CTATTTAGGGAAACTACCGCATGGGGCCTGAAAGATAAACAAGCATGGTGTTTTCAGGAGTATTAGGTATACTTTGTAGCTAGGTAGGGATTTGTGCTGAGCTTGCTGAATGATCGCCAAACTCATTAGGTTGAACGAACCTCCAGAAACAGTCCTAGCGCTTGAAGTCAAATGCGAAACGCACTCCAGTTCTGTGCGTGCGTTGGAGCCCATAGTGTGGATTGCCGCATTATCCCAAATCCCTGAAAAGCAAGACGTCCTTCGGCCAGTTCGTATCTCCGAAGTAGTGCTCAACCTGCATGCCAACACCAGTAAGCTCTTACTGGGCAAGTGAGCTAACTGCAAGTTTGTGATGCGAATCTACAAGGGATGTGGAGGCTCAAGTACATGCAAGCTGGCTTGGCTGTGTCGTGCCTGTCTCCGGATCGCTTTGCGCAGCGTCCTGACAAAGGAGGCGCTTGGTACTGACATGTTTGAACAGATTTTGCACGAAGAGCTGTTGGTATACTCCTACCTAAACCCCAAAAGTANNCCCTAAACCCATAGTAACAGCCCTAAAGGCCATTATTTTACATACTGTTGGGGCCCAGGTAAAGCCTACGCCTAGTCTCCAAATACACTGATGGGTGCAAGGCAGCACCCCTCCCCCCACCTGCTTTTCAAGTCTGCACTGGGGCGATTGCCCAGTGATTGCCCTGTTGTGAGCACCGGCCAAGACGCCATTCATGGCCCTCTACGGCGCCAAGGGAAGTTTGCAGCAATGAAGGAAAGAAAGATCTTCACATCTCCCGGTAAGCTTCCCAGAGACAAACATACAATGCATTCATAGGCATGATTTCTGTTCGACAGACTCATACAGTCGGCGTCCTCAACTTCCGATTCACAAACTCCTCAGTTCGCTGTCCCGCAGGGACCTGCAGCAACTGCTATACACCCCCCTAAATATCCCCAATACAACCCTATATAATCCTTATATAACCCCAATATAAGCCCAATATACAACCCCTATATAACCCCAATGTAAGCCCAGTATATAACCCCAACATAAGCCAAATATATAACCCCTATATAACCCCACTATAACCTGCAAAGAGGATCAGCCATACCATGAACATGCTAGCTGCTAGCTTGGTGCGCACCAGACATCCAAACTAAAGTGAGACCACAATGGAAATAATGGAGAATCAAATGGAAAAGAAAATGGAAAATCAAATGGAAGCCCTAGGTCCCTGCAAAGGGGTATATAGGGATATTACCCCAATAATGGAGAATCAAATGGAAAATAGGATGGGAACCGACATGGACACTGGGGCTAGACTGATACAGGCATCTAACGGGTAGATCCTCAACAATATCGGGGGGCCCAAAACTTATCTGGAGGGTTTGGGAGGTTGGCTCTGACGTTTCTGGAGGTAAGCTCTTCTACAAATTTTCGATGAAGCACAACACTACTTGCCACAAAGCATTTCCGGGCAGAAGTTACGCCAAAATGAGTGTATGGAGGTGCTGAATACAATTTCCGGATGACGGCGCACGCTTGCGGCAGACTCCCACGCTTTCGGCATTCACATTCGAGGGCTGATTGTTTGGAGCTACTATGGGACCGTTAAGAAGATGTACTCAGGCACTGTGCGAGCGCCACATTGAATTCTAGGCCCCAAAGATCCACTCCCTCAACTGCACGCTTGAAGCCCGATATCCTGTACTCCTCAGAGCTGAGGACAATATAACACCCATATAACCCTAATAACCCCTATATAACCCATTATACTAATTTCCCTAATATAACCCCAAGATTACATCAATATAACCCCCATTGAGACCTAAATGATCATGGCAGCCCCAATTTCGGCGCCTCGAGTTGTCCCAGGAGCGGATGGTTCACAGAACGAGCCTGCGCATCCACAGAAGTGCGGCACGTGGGTTTGAGGTATCCTTGTGCGTGGGAGCTTCTTGCCTCAATTCATGCCCCTTTGTGTTATGCAAGCTTCCGGGAAAAATGCGTGTCTGCTCCTCAGTTCTGCCATGGGCTCCTTCGTCCCAATGTCCCAGTCTCATGCATATGTTGCAGCCCATGACATCAGCACTGTGAACCTGGTCCACGTTCTCCTCCTTCGCGTCCAGGCTTGGCTGTTTCGAGCGCGCGAGCACCTCCCAGCCAAAAAGAAGCGAAGCAGCCACAGCGTTGCAACAAAACATGAGCCATGCCAAAGAACCCATGATGTATATATCTATATATATATATACCACCCTGCATAATATCGTAGTTTCCGTTCTATTTTCCATTAAAACCCTGTGAAGGCAGCCTGACGTGCTTCTGCTGCAGCCTGCTTGGATGTCACCGTTCCACCCTAGTCAGGGTGCCCACTCTGAGCATGTCCCTATACCCAGGCTCTGGAACTGCCTCTGAGGGTAGCCTGCTTCAGTGGTACAGGAAGCCCAAATACAAGGCAGGATCACAGTCTGACAAACAGTCCTGGCTCCCATTAAAATGTTATGGCTTTTGCAATCAGAGCCACATGAGATGTCTCCACTGCGGCGTGCGTTTTCAAAACCAAAACCCTGCGACATCGCACGACGAGCATCAACAAAACGGCAAAAACAACGCGAGGAATATGCACTCCCATGGAGACTATGTCAACACATGATTTGGGGCCCATCTGCAGAACGACAATATGTGCTACTAGTACTGCCAGTGTTTTCATGTCTACCATGTGATGATAATGAGGACAGGTATCCCTGCAATCTTACCATTATGCCCTCAATGAGACAATGTGGATGTGCCCGGCCTGGCCTTTGTCTCCTTGGTCTCCTTCCTCGCCTTCGGAGCCTTCGCAGCCGCTTCCTTGGGCTTCTTGGCGTCTGCCCCATTTGCCATAGAAGGCTGAGGGAAGGGAGGAAGCACCCGCTCCTTCTGTGCAGCTTGGGCATCTGCCTGGCTGAGCTTTGCAGCTTGCAAGCCTTGCCCTGGCAGTCTTTGCCGTTTTTCCGGCGGGCCCAGAGGTGCGGGCAGTGCCAAAACTGTTGAGCCATTTTCGCTGCCGGCAGTGCTGACCGTCACCTCGTCATCGTCTCGCACAACGTCGGTGAGGCGAAGGGTTGGGAGCAATGCAAAACCGCCAACCCTTAAGACCAAAGATTCGACTTTCTCTGGCAGACGCATCTGGACATGCCTGACTAGGTCTGCCACCAGCTCCAAATCCTGCGGGACCCGGACAAGAAAGCGCTTGCTTCCAGTGGAGCCATCACATGTGACTCTCACGCGCATGGCAGCAAGTTTCGGATTGGAGGCTTACAGCCGCCCTTTTCTAGTTGATTGCGGCGCAGACCTGTAAGAACTGCTGAATTGCGATGTCTGACAGATCTTTCATGATGTTGCAGAAGCCCGCAGAAGCCCTGGGCAGAACGTGCCTCAAAGTAAGACCAGTTTCAGTACTAGTACTAATAGTTGTAATCGTAGCAATAGTAATAGCGTTAACAACACGGCTGCAAAATCGTAGGTTTTGGGTAAGCATGTGATTGTTCAGTACTTGGACCTCAGGATAGGCTCTGCCCAGTGGCTCCAGGCGAGCTCAAGTTTCAAGCAGCTGCGGCAGCAAAGCCATGCTCTGAATGGCTGTATTTGGGGGTTTCCCAGCCTTTGAAAAGGGTTAATGAGGACATCATGATAAGGTTTAGGGATAAGGTTTGGGGCTTAGGATTTCCCAAAAGTCTGTGGATAAAACCTTATTGTTCCCCCAGTAATGCAGAAGCAAATGGAACAGAACATGGAAAATAAAATGAAAACTGTGTTTATGGCGATTAGGGGTTTCCAAAACATAGGGGTACCCTTCTGGGGGCTTACATGATAAGGATTATCGTACATTGGGGTCTATGTTGGGGTCCCCCTATTTTGCCAAATCACGGTTCCTAGATCCCCGCAAGAGTTCTTGATGCCTTCAGAAGCAGTACAATGCCACAACTGATTAAGGAACGCCTGTTGAGGAAGCATAGGGGATACAGCACGCAAGCTGCCCGCGGCTTAAAACAATAATGTTGCCTTCTAGCTATCAAATCACGGCTGGTGGGTTCATCTCTTGACTCGGCCCGCGAAAAACAGCAAAGAGAAGGCCAACGCACTGAAAGTCCAGGAATACCAAACATGAAGGGGCGGCTAGCTTGCATTCAGACGCCCTAACAGTTCATTTCATGGAGCATGGCAAAGAAATGTTGCGAGGCTTCATGGGTCGCCTCAAGTTCCGAATTACAGAGACTGACGAAATCGGCCCTTCATTCTTCGCAAACCCACATATGGTACCCGCGCCCCATGTCAACCAGCCGGTGTAACAGTACTAGCGCTAGAATTCCAGCAGCCGTGGCATAGAATAATGCCGCTAGTAATCAAAACGAGAATAACAAACATTGTGAACGCATATGAGCCATTGTCTAAACTCCTAGTATCCCTTTTAGTAACCCCTATAATAGTCTACTACATAGCCCCCTATATATCCCCCTTTAAGGAGTCAAGACTATAGCTCATATATATATAACCCATTATAGTAGTTTCCACTTTCTTTTCCATTATCCCCCATATAACCCCAATATAACCCTAATCCCTATATAGTCCTCACATAATCCCTATATAAGCCCTAGAGAAAAATCCAGCTTCAGCCTTGCTCCGACTGGCATTGACGGATTTCTCCTTCGCCGCAGACCTTTGTATAAAGGGACTCTACTGGGAACCCCAAATAGGAAACCCCAAGAATATAGCAGTAATATAATGGAATATAAGGACCCTGGTAAGCATATTCCTATTATATACCTACTATATTCTTGGGGTTCCCTATTTGGGGTTCCCAGTAGAGTCCCTTTATTGTAAGCAAGGAAGGGAAGGCTGCCTGCAATCAGTGAAGATGTTGACGTGGGACAATGGAAAAGAAAACCGAAACTACTATAATGTATTAGGGGTTCCTTTCAAGGGGTTCTGTTGGGGTAGTATAGGGGTAATATAGGGGCAATATTGGGGATATATTGGGGTTTTATTGAAAGCATTGAGGTTGATATTTCTGGTATCCTTACGGTAAGTAGTGAGGGAAAAGTCGATAACATTGATCTCCTTGCCCTACCTCGTTATCTATGCTGCACCATGGTTCATGATTTCCAGTTTCGCAAACGTCTGCAGGAGTCAGACATGTCCATATCACTGCTTCAACCACATTGCTATGTGATCGTACACATTAGGAGGCTGCATCTTGAGAGAACCCTCCTCCTTCTTCTTCTTAGGGCAACACGA